CTGGATATTGGCGAGACTTTCATTCAAAGATCTGTGCATTTATGCATACGATCCTATGAGAGGCGCGCGGCAGAATAGTGTAGTTCGGAGATCAATCGAGCCATACTCAGTGTTGCGCCCATATTTCCTTCATCGTATTGGTTTCTAGGACACAAAAGAGAATCCTATGGGAATTTCCGCCATTGATCCTTTTGAGATTCATGTCGTTGATGGGTTGCCAATGCAAGATAACACGCAAATTATTATTGAATATTTCTTATTCTTATTCATTTTTGTACATGAATTCCTATTTGGATATTATACTAACTTATTCAACGTTTATGTGCGACCTTGTATGTAGTGACTATGGTATTTATGTTACTGCATTTGCTGAGTACATCATTCAAGGCAGCAATATTTCTAAAGCTATTGATATTGATGGGATACGAGATCGATATGGTATATTGCTATGGGATTATAGAGTGAAGAAACAAAGAGCGCATGCAGTTAGTGATGACGAGTCTACTGGTAGATTGAAGGGTCTGACAAAAAAGAATAACAAGAAAAAGGGCAAGTCGCATGCCATTGGTGATGACAAGGATTTGAAGGATAACAAGAAAAAGGGCAAGACGCATGTTATTGGTGATGACGAGACTTTGAAGGATATCAAGAAAAATGGCAAGTCACATGCCATTGGTGATGACGAGACTTTGAAGGATATCAAGAAAAAATGGCAAGATGAAGTAGTTTGGGATAGTTTAGCGGAAAATTCACATGTAGTTTTAAGATGAAGTAGTTTGGTTATGATATTGTCTTATGATTGGATACAGTTGCATACTTACATCACGTTTTATGCTTTTTGTTTGGGAAATTTTTGAACAATATGTTTGAAATGCTAATATTGAATATTACTTTTAATTGCGACTTGTTTGTTTTCAGTTAATAGTGAAATTTTAAAAGTTTCAGATTTTGTGTAGTTTTGACTTTTCTACAGTTTTAGTTTTGTAATTTATACAGTTTTAAAATGTTTCGACAGGTTTTGCAAATTTAGCTGGTGTTGTTAAGTTGTTATAGGAAGTTTTGTGAATGAAGTTTTGGGGGCAGCTAAACTGTATATAAACTGCATGGCGACAGTCTATTTTGTAAAATTTTGTATAGTAACAGTCTTTTTTGTATATATTTTTTATAGTGACATCTATTTTGTATAATTTTTGTATAGTCACAGTCTATTGTATGTAAATTGTATATACAATAGTGACAGACTATTTTTTTTTTATATAAATAAACAAATTCTATTTTGTATATTTTCTTTATAGTGGCAGTCGTTTTTGTATATATTTTGTATAGTGACATATATTTTATATAGCGATAGTTTATTTTATATATCTTTTGTATAGTGACAGTCTATTATATATAAATTGTACAGTGACAGTCTATTTTGTATATTTTTTGTATAGTGACAATTATTTTTGTATATATTTTGTATATTGACATCTATTTTATATATTTATTTGTATAGTGACATCCATAATAGTATTTGGAATAAAACTTATATCAATACTTTCATTACGACAAAAAGTAGTATCTTTATTCATACATCAGAGAGAATCTGATTGTAAATCTCATTATTTTTTCAATATTCTAATTGTAAAATTCACAAGGAAAATAGTTACAAAATATTAAATCATTGTAGGAACATCTACTAGTTATCTCGAGCATTCTTGCATGTTATTCTGTTGTGTCCTTGTTTTCCACACAGTCCACAGGTAACTGTTTCAGTATACAAATATTCATAAAGTCCCGTGCGTCGCGACTTCGTCGGTCTTCCTGATTTGCCCTTCACTATCGGTGGTAGGACCACATTATCTAGCACCTCTGTTGGAAAGTCCCATATAGTTTCATCTAGAAGTGGATTAACTGATACTTCATATGTCTTCTTGAAGTATTCCTTGGTGTAATAGGCAGAACAATATTTGGATGCTTCTATGTGTGTGTAGTCCAATACTATCATAGCATGTGGACAAGGAATCTCATCCACTTGAAATTGTTTGCACGAGCATTCCCTTTTTTGCATGCAGACTATGTTCCGTCTTTGTTCAGCATCCATTACTACATATACATAATCGGTTGAAGGCCTTACCTAAATTTAAATAGATATCATTAATAAAATATGGACATGACAAGTATTAATGCATTTTTGTCAAAGTAAGTTATTCAGGCGTATGAAGTAAGACATGATAAAAGAATATTTACCGTCATCTTCTGTGACAAACTGCTATTTTCCTTCAGTACTTCGTTATATTATTTTTCTAGGCCAGTAAATGTACTCATTGAAGTCATTCTATTTGTATTATTCCATTCCATAACTAAATTCATCATGTAATCTAGCAAACTTATGATTGGTAGCTCTCTTGCCTCTCTGTTTCTTGCATTGAGTGACTCGGCAATATTTGAAGTC